TGCAAAACTGGCTGGACATTGGGCATGTTTTTTAGAATCTTGGTAGGTGAAATATGACTAATGGAAATAATAGCTATTAAGCATTGGGCATCTCGTTGCCCTTTGAGGTTTTTTACGTCAGTAGATTTATATCACAGGATATTTTAAATAAGCTGTTTATAATTGAATTCCTCATTTATAGGTCAATATAAACAGTTGTGAAAGTCCAAAATGGGGAGATACTAGGGGAAAAAGGCATATGCCACTTCTTGATGTCCCTCCCCTCCACCATTCCAAAAGCTCTAGCAGAAACCATTTCAGCAGTCTGTCCTTTACCCCTTTTTTTTTAATGTTACCTCGGAGTAGTTTTTCAAGTCACATGAATTTGTTTTCTTATCAGTCATCTCATTGAGAAAAAGAAACACTGTGCCCTTCTTACCTTAAGTGTGTAAGAGCTAACCCCTTAAAATAGAGTGGGCACCTGAGTGGTGCTTGTTCAATTGTGGAGAGAGTGGCAGGGAGAGGGGGAGAAACCAGATTGGTCCTAAGGTTTGGCTCACTCCTTACATCAGGCGTGTAAAGGATCCTCACTCTCTTTAGACTCTGACAAAACTGTTTTCCTCCCTGGTTGCATCTGCCCATTTTCAGAGGAAGAGAGTAGTTTACTAACCTTCCTTTGGTGTAAACCTTTACCCACATTATAGTATGTGAAATACCATTAACTCTGGTCCAGCCTCCTGCCCAGGCAGCAGTGCTGTGTGTGTCCTCCTAATGGACGTGTCACATGGTACTGTAACAGTTGTTTATCTCCTTGTCCCAAACTGTGAGCCCCTCAAGTGTAGAGACTTTATCTGAGTCTTCTCTATGTCTTGGAGAAATGTCAGTTTTCTATAGTAGGAATCTTTGAAAGGCTAGGATACATTGATCCTGGCTTAGTACGTAGTAGACATTCAGAAAATGACTAGCAGATTGATTTTTGAGCTGAGTGGTCTATTCAGTAAATTGAAACACTTTCCCTCTGCTTTTTCCCTCCTGTGCTGCTGCTGTTGATCTTTCATTCTTCTTTATTGGGGTAGTTGCTTTTTTTGTTTCTGTATTTGGCCACTGCCTACTGCTTTCCCTACTGTTCTGTACTCTACTACTCCCTTTACCTGGCTTTTTTCCCCACAAAATTCACCATCCCCCAAAAGTTCCCTTAAAACAAAGCCAGCCAACTAAGGCTTTTAAAGCCCCCACCATCCCATGTAAGAAATATAGGCAGCAGGCAGAGGCTGTGACTGGTAGAGTGAGGCAGATTTTCCCAACACCAAGGATCTGAAGACCTCGGTCCTGGTCCTACTCGAGTCCTGATTTCTTGAGTGACCTCAAGCATTTTACTTACCACAGTTGTTTACTTTAATAAAATGTATAAGTATATAATGTACATATTATCTAAACTTTGTCCTATTTGAAAAGGTCTGTTTTTGTCATCCATATAAATGATCTATTATTAAAATACACATATAATTTAGGGAGTATATCTACTTAAAGACATACTACTTGTGTTTAAGAGCCATGACCATTGAAAACAGGAAAACCAAATTTTAGCAGAATTTCCATATATTGGGACCCACTGATTCTCTGTGTGATATAATTAGGAAAAGAGGTTTGCTGTTTACCTTTGAAATATTTATAGGGGGGGAAGGGTGTTTTCCAAACAAATTACTGCTAATGAGATTATACAAAGCTTTAGCTCATTTTAGAGAATAAATTCTTAAAATGTCTTTTCTCTACATGTGCTTTGATTACCTATTAATTATCCGTTCTGACAACATTCTCATCCTATTTGTCCAGTTCTTGTTAACTCTCTTACTGCAAGATAATAAAGCTGCATTTTTTTAAAAAAAACCTATTTGTTCCGTTTTGCCATTCAGACTTTTTATAAGTCTCTCCCTCTAGCACTGACTCATAAAGTCCGAGTTAGTAATATTTTATTAGGTGGACAGTTGGCTGTAACTGAGTTTAGCAGACGAGTTAAAAGTGGTTAAAAGTGGCTTTTCTGATACGATTTTAAAAGACTTTGGTATACATCAATGCAGTATGTTTAAGGTTTAGTTATTTCAGTGCTCAACCATCAGTACTTCTTCTCCCCACTTTAGTCTGCGATGTCAAAAAATTGCATCAAGCTTTTGTGTGAAGATCCTGTTTTTGCAGAATATATTAAATGTATCCTAATGGATGAAAGAACATTTCTAAACAACAACATTGTCTACACATTCATGACACATTTTCTTCTGAAGGTATGTTGTACTTCGGAAACTCGGTGTATTACCTCCAATTACTTAATGTTTGTGTTTTCATTATATTGGTCGTTTGGAGATAGTTTATTTTTTAATCTTTTTTTTTTTCAGGTTCAAAGTCAAGTGTTTTCTGAAGCAAACTGTGCCAATTTGATAAGCACCCTTATTACAAACTTGATCAATCAGTATCAGAACCTGCAATCTGATTTCACCAATCGAATTGAAATTTCCAAAGCAAGTGCTTCATTAAATGGGGTAAGAACAATGGGAGGGAATAGTTGTGTACTTCAGAACTTTCCTTTAATCGACTCTAAATTTGGCCTTAGTATGACTACTATTACAACTTCAGCTTAAGTCAAATGTCATGGAAAAAACTAATCAAATTTTAAAAAATACATACTCACTATGCTTGTTATGTATGTAGCACACACTATTACTGTACAAGAACATGAGCTAATGTCATTAAATGCTAGAGGCAATAAGACCACTAAGAGGAGAGACACTCCCTTTATCTCTACTTGTTTACATTTTTTGAAACAGTACTTAATGATGTTTCTTTTATTGCCTATAGTTCATGAGTAACTGAAACAAACAGACTAATGATCTGCCAGTTTAAAGCCAGTTAAAACTAGGGAATTCATAAGTTACCCTGTGTAGACTCCCATGATAGCTGTCACAGAAATAATGGAACACCCTGGAAATGTGTGCTCGCACATGCCCAGCAGCAGCCTCCCAAGTAACGAAATGCTTGGATGCCAGAACAGATTAGAGATAAGTGAAGAAGACCACTGTTTGTGACATCCACCTGATATTAGCATATTTGAGAAACGGATTTCTAGGTTAAGGTCTAAATTTCTCAGGGATCATTTAGGATTTCTTTTTAAAATTCCTATGTAAGTTCTATTGTTTGTTTTTCCATTTTCAAAAAACATTTGAGTCTTCGATCTGACTTAATAGTGTGGTACATAAAATAATGGTATTACTGACTTATAACTGATGAGATATATATAGTATTGGGTTATCGGAAAAGTCATGATGTTTTTTCTATGTTTTTCATGGCAAAAATGCATCATGACTTTTCCAACAACCCAATAGTATAATACTGGCTTTCTAGTTTCAGCATTTTTCTAAACGTTTCGAGAAACCAGGATGAATCCTGGAAGAGTAATCCTGTGCATTGGACTGGAAACAAAATATGTTAAAATGTTGGCTTTTGAACTTGAAATATTCATTTCTGGGTTTTTGTAGGACCTGAGGGCACTTGCTTTGCTTCTCTCGGTACACACTCCCAAACAATTAAACCCAGCTCTAATTCCAACTCTGCAAGAGCTTTTAAGCAAATGCAGGACTTGTCTACAGCAGAGAAACTCACTCCAAGAGCAAGAAGCCAAAGAAAGAAAAACTAAAGGTTAGCCTTACGAACCAGTATCACCTTTAGGGTGGGCGGAGGGAAGAATCCACTGGGTTGTATCTTCAGTTGGGCCTCCTAAGCATAAATGCTCAAAAGGAAATTTCTCACCAACACCCCCCAGTGCGATCTTAATGACTCCTTTCATAGAAGTTTGTTTCGATGTTTTTCAGATGATGAAGGGGCAACTCCTGTTAAAAGACGGCGTGTTAGCAGTGACGAGGAGCACACTGTAGACAGCTGCATCGGCGACATGAAAACAGAAACCAGGGAGGTCCTGACCCCAACTAGCACTTCAGACAATGAGACCAGAGACTCCTCAATTATCGACCCAGGAACTGAGCAAGATCTTCCTTCCCCTGAAAATAGTTCTGTTAAAGAATACCGAATGGAAGTTCCATCTTCGTTTTCAGAAGACATGTCAAATACCAGGTCACAGCATGCAGAAGAACAGTCCAACAATGGTAGATTTGAAGATTGTAAAGAATTTAAAGACCTCCACTGTTCCAAGGATTCTAACCTAGCAGAGGAAGAATCTGAGTTCCCTTCTACTTCTATCTCTGCAGTTCTGTCTGACTTAGCTGACTTGAGAAGCTGTGATGGTCAAACTTTGCCCTCCCAGGACCCTGAGGCTGCTTTATCACTCAGTTGTGGCCATTCCAGAGGACTCTTTAGTCACATGCAGCAACACGACATTTTAGATACCCTGTGTAGGACCATTGAATCTACGATCCATGTGGTCACAAGGATATCTGGAAAAGGAAACCAAGCTGCTTCTTGACATTAGATGTAGCATGTCTACTTTTAAGGGCCCCCCTCTTCCCAATGCTGTTTGTATAAGTTTTGCTTATTTCTGTTTTTGTGCTTCAGTTTGTCCAGTGCTCTCTGCTTGAATGGCAAGATAGATTTATAGGCTTAATTCTTGGTCAGGCAGAACTCCAGATGAAAAAAAATTTGCATCTTCAGTATACTTTCTAAAGGGCAATCAGATAATGAATATGTTTTATGTAATTAAGAGTTCACTGTAGTGGCTTTCATTTAATATGGCCGTCTGGGAGGAACAGGGTTCCTTGGCCCTGTACAATGTAATTTAAACTTACAGCATTTTTACTGTGTATAATATGGTGTCCTCTGTGCCAGTTTTGTACCTTATAATAGAGGCAGGTTGCCTCCAATCGCTGTGGTTCTTATTATCAAAATTAAGTTTACTTGTATACGGAACAACCACAAGAAATTTGATTCTGTAAAGAATCCTCTTTAGCTGTGGCCTGGCAGTATATAAATGGTGCTTTATTTAACAGAATACCTGTGGAGGAAATAAAGCACACTTGATGTAAAAATAATTGTTTTATTTTTATTGACATGACTGATTGCTATTCTGTGCACTTAATTAAACTGATTGTGATGACTTTTCATTTGTTTACATACGTTGCTTCAGTCTTCTCAGATGAAAGTAAGAAAAGTGAATGGGGGGAAGCACTTACCTATTATATTAGAAGCGTTAGTGGCAGTCCAAAAAGTAACTCATTCCCATAGACTTTTCAGTCCTTTCCACCCTGAAGTGGTAACTGCTGCGGAGAGAAGTATAACAACTACAGCCAGCGCACCCTCCCTTCAACATGCTTCCGAATGCAACATGCCTTGAAAACCCTGAAGTAAAATAAAGGAATGGTAGCAACATGCCACTGATTTCTTGTCTTCCTGAACTAAACTACAGGTGAAGGAAAGCTAGCTACAAAGACGGAAAGCTAGCTACAAAGACAAGCTTTAGCTCGGGAAACGTCAACTATCTGTACTCAGAGACTCCGTCTATTCCCAAAGAAGCATCTATGGGAGGTAAGGTTAATACTTGATTTCAGGTTGCTTGCCGCTTTTAACTCAATGCAGAGTCTAGTCGTAGGAAAGATTCAAACAACGCTTTCCATTCTGCAAAGTTCATGGATTTCATCCACTATAAATTAAGAGTTTTTGTTTTCTTTTTTAAAAGGAATAATAGGGAAGACATAAACTCGACATTTTTTCTGCTTACAAAAAGTAATGTCCTTATAAAATCTTTTAACTAATTCAACCACTTAAGGTGGTCAACTGCAGTAAATCTTTTATTTCTTCAAAATGCTGCTGCTTCCAACAGAACTTCATGTTCTCTTCTTTACAGACAGGAACGCCTTTACAGTCCAACTGTAATTCCGTTTGCCCTGAAGTGGGCACAAAATTCAGTGCAACTGTTGCATAGTGTTCTGGAAGAAAAACAGGGAAACTTCTAAGTACTATTACCTGCTTTTCTTGGGGGCAGCTTGAGTGTTTTCAGGCTCATAACAGGGTACTAATAATAACATACCTTCTGGCCAGTTCCTACATCTCCATTTCATGACGATCTTTCTATTTGTTAACTAAAAACAAAAGGAAAAGTCCACTGAAAACATGTTTTAAAACTTCCTACACAGAAAAACACCGAATTGTTCATTGAAATCTCTATGTGCTGAAAGTAATGATTCACATACAGTCCCATCTTCCAGTTTATATGCCAGCACCATTGTCCTTGTGCCAAAATGTGACAACAGTGAACATCAAGGACAGAAGAAGAGTAATACGGGTAATGAGAAAAGAGCTGATGTCAAGGGTGAAGCAGCTGACACTTGGCAACACAGAACCTAGTGATGTAGGTGGCAGAAACCTGAGCATTCCAGACCAAGAGTTGGGAGGAATTATACTTGTTTCTTCTAGAATTATAAGCATTTGCACAATTACTGTAAAACTAAGGCACATCTTTATAGAACATTTTTTATTTGCTCTGTAACCAACTTTATAAAGTTACAGTTTCTGTGAACGCAGATAAAACCCAAAGCAAGTTAAAAACAGCATTGATTTAAAAAGCAATATTAATGGAAACAGGTTGGTCCCCAGCTTGCTTTTCTTTTATCAAATTACTTACCAATTCCATATATTCACCCATGACGTTCCCATCAAACATTTGGAATTTCCCTCCCTTTTCAGCTTCTAAAATGGCAGGAGATTTAGAAAATTTTTGCACCAACTAATGAAGTAAAACATAATAAATGGGTTATTTCAGCGCGTGTTCACCTTTTTAACCTAAATGTACTAATATAACAATTACTATGGTTTGGGTGTTTTTTTAAATCCTGAATAACTTATTTCAAGGGAATAACTCTTTCCCTTGCAGAGGGCGTAAACCCAGTAAATTAATGTATCCCCTAAATGCTGATACCCCAAAATACCCATCTTTTCCCCTCTCAAATTTTTCAAAAGCTACCCTAACGACTGCTATCACCACAATTCTAGATCCCTTAAATCAGAAAAGCACGGCCATAAGGGAAACCGAAAACCAGCGCCAGTTTGTAGTGGTACATTTTCTCCCAATGTTGGCATTAAGATCCTAGCTTGAGGAGTTACTTACATCCTTCACAGTGAAGATGCTGTACAGCTGCTCTACAGCTGTGTCAAACATTTCCGTCATGTGCAGCGCCACAGTAGGAATCCTTACACCCAATGGCACTGGAGACGAGCCCTAAAGGTCGACAAGAGGTTCCAAAGGATAATTAGCATGCCAAAGAGAAAGCTGCTTAGATTTGAAAATTCAGTCTTCCAGTCTTAATAAAACACCAAAATGTCTCCAATTCCACACTACCCATTCAGTCACATGGATATAGCATCAAAATATATATATATATATATTTTTGCCAAGCCTCATCTTTATTTTGGAAACAGCTCATTATTCCTATGAGCTCTTTAGTGCTGTTTTCCTGGGCTATGTCCTACTTGGACATGTAAATGCAGCCCATGAAGAACAACTGCACGTAAGGACAAAGGTGTCATTTATTCCCCATCACCAGATTCCAAGAATAGGATCTAAAACCTCCCAATCCAAAAGCCTGAAGAGAAGGTTCTTCCACTGTGGCCTGTGAACCTCAGTCACCTGGTTTTGTAATGTTGCCTACCAAAGAACAGTGCCTTCAGAACACTGTCTTGAACTAAATTCAGTATTTATCCACAAAAAGGCCTGTTTATACATTCCCTTCCGTCAAGGATGAAAGTCTTGTTTCATCATTTACCCCCAAAATGGCAGAGATGCAAGCGTGGATTAACTGGGCCACCTCGCTATCCTATTCAGTTCATCACTGAAAGGCTGTTGAGAGCTTGAAGCATTTCCACCAAGCACTTTCCCCTTCCCTATGTATTGGCTGCCAGGAGTCATACCTGCAAAGTGTTCTCACTCAGTTTCCTTTTAACGGTCAATTCCTGGGTTGCTGTAGCTTTCGTTGGTAAAATCATTCCCACTGTAAATTCTACAGAGAAACATGGGAAACGGTTTTAATAAAAAATTTATTCCTCTTCAGCACAAATAGGCAGAAAACCCAAAACAGCCTATAAGAAAATAATTGATATTTATAAAAAGAACTCCTAATCATTTTGAGAGTTTCAAGACCACTCCATGTTTTTATATATAAAACTAATTATTAACCCAAGTGCCACAGCAACAAATGCCTTTTTTTCAAATGCCTCACTTTTATCTAGTTCTTAATAGCAAAAATTTCTGATGTTCTTTACCAAAAAGCTCAGTTTTCTACAGCTAACTACTAATAGCTTTACGCCTTCACCTACTGTCAAACTAGACTCAGTGCTTTACCACCTCTCAAAGCTTGGCCTCACGATATTCAAGCCTATAGGCCAGCCATATATGGTCTCATGGGAAAGTGGCAACCCCAAACCCATCAATGCCAGCACCTAGACACAAAGCCGAGTCCAGGGATGTACAGACATATAGGCCCCCGTTGGCCATTTTGCCTGGCAAGTAACGTCTCTAATTTAGGGGAGTAAACATAAGTATCCTCACTTCCACACCATGTAGGAATTATCTAGGTAAATCTCAACTACACCTGTAATACCTGCAGTCACTTTCATTCGTTGATTCAACAAAGATTTATTAAGCACCTACTATGTGCCAGACTTTGTGCTAGATGCTGGAGATACAGCAGAGAACAAAACAGACACCTTCCATGCCCTCATGGAGCATATGGTCTAGCAGAGATGACAGACATTAAGTAATTATACGAATGACTGATTAATTATCATTCCAGAAAACTGCCAATAACAATTCTGTAGGCAAAATGGTTCACGCTGTGTTCATGGTAACTAATTGTGGTCTTGCTACAATTTATCCTGCAGCAGAAAGGGTTGTTTTTGGAGCCTAACCTGGGAATCCAGACCAAAGTGCAGAGCATAAGTTGGGGAAATAGAAAAGGGACCCTCTGGTTCACATGAGTTGCCTTCTTTACCCGTCTTAAGTGCCTTCAGGTAATCTCCAAGGGCTTCCCTGACCTTGGCGGTGCCTGCAGTTTTCATAAGATTCTTCAGGATATCCCCATCTCCTTTCTTTTTACTCACGTTCACCTACAAATCAGAAAAATACAAACCTAAGAAAAATCTGATTTGATGTATTCTTACACTATTGGGACATATGGATGAGAGAAGAACTGTGATTGTGAGGGAAGGGGAAGAAGTGGCTATAAGATGTGACAGGTTTCTTCCTATAGTTTGAGAAGCTATAAGGGTTTTTTAATCAAGGCTCCATTGATCGGGTTGGCCAGATCGTGAATGGGCTTCTTAGAATGTGAACCCCTTGACTTGCATACAAAACTTTCTATGTTTATGTATTATATTGATGATGTAGTCCATGGCTTTTGTCAGGGTCTAGAAATGCGCTGTCCAGTATGGTCGCCACCAGCCCCATGTGGCTCCTGAGCCCTCGAAATGTGGCTGGTCTGATTTGAGATGTGCTGTAAGTGTAAAATAATGCCAGACTTGGAAGAGTTAAGACCGTAAAATAATGTAAAATAATCTCAGTAATATTGGTATTAATTACATGTTAAAACGGTATTTTTATATATTGGGTTAAATAAAAACATTATTAAAGTTAATTTCATCTGTTTCTTTTAACTTTTTTAATATGGCTACTGGAAAATTTTAAATTCCATATGTGGCTTGCATTATATTTCTATTGAACAGCGCTGGTCTAGAACCCCAAAGCCAGAATAATTAGGACAAACAAGTACCCACATAATATGGCCTTGAGCTACCCATTTTTGCCAGGGAGGAGAGTTGGCAAAGGGAGAGGAAAAGGAGAAAAGGAAAAGAGAGAGGAAGATAAGGCGGGGAGGGGAAAAAAAGGAGGAAAGTGATGGGGAGAAGGGAGGGAGACGGGGAGAGACAGGGAAAGGGATACCCCTGGTGTCAGAGTGAACAAAGGTGTTGGTTAGAAAGCACGGGAGGGTCCCTATGATTGAGTTGAGCTGAGCCTGGTCCCAGGCCCCAGTTCCAACGAAAAGAGTTTGTTCTATAATGCTACCGAGGATTAAATCTAAAACATTCAGTTTAACATGCTGATGATGAAAAATTTCTCAGTTGATGGATTTGAATATCACAAAGGAAAATGACAGCCCCTGAGTACAGAAACCACATGCCTGCAGATATGTCAGACAGCCCCACTTTTCTGGCATTTTATAACCTTTAATAAAGACAAGTCAGACATGTTGTTCACTATGATTTACATTTTATATCTTTGAAAACCTTCACATTGAATGAATACGTTCACAAATCAAAAAGACCCTTTGTCAAACTACTTGGTTTCAAAAATAGAGGTGCTGAACAAATGGTCTCTCCCCAGAACCAAGCTTTCAGCTTACCGAAGGCACCAACTGAAAACCAAGCTTATGAGTTACACAGGCTCTATCTCCCAACAGAACTCAGAGAGCCAGTCAAAAGCAACATATACTAACGAGTTTACAAAACTACCACAACGCTATAACCAAGGGCGGTAACAGCTGAAAGCTGAGAATTTTCTCTATTAAAGGATAACAGCAAAGACCCAGAGGAGGAGGAACCAAATCTCACGCTCCGAGCTGTGCATGCAGCCTGAGCACCTTACAGAAGGTACACGGTCACGTTTATCTGGTAACAGTCCTGAAAGATGAAATAACCTTTCTTCACAGCTGAGGCCACAGAGGGTGCACTCACCTGCCCAGGCCCCACATGTGGGTCCGTGAGGGCCCTCTAAGGCTTCCTTGGCTTCCTCTTTCCTACACTACTCGCTCCAGACCCCATGCTGCCCCCACAGAACAGCAACTTGTGGCAAAGGAGCCCTCTACGATTCACCAAAACCACAGCACAGGAATCACACAGTCTGATAAACAGTTTTTTCAAATGCTCAACAACTATAGCAAAGCTTGATTTAAAAAAAAAAAAATTTAGATAACCTCACCTCAGTGTCATCCACTTCATTTTCTTCAGAAAGGCTGGGTATTTCAATCAACCCCTTGTGCTTTGCACCAGATTCTTTAATTATACCTAAAATGAACAAAACATGTTTTTTAATTACAAAGTAACAACTGATGTATTCAAAACTGCCCGGCATCACTGAATAGCCAAGCCTCCCCACAGGGTGCCACCACAGCTGGCAAAAAGGCAGGCGCAAGGCTTTACCACCCACCACACGGGGACCTAAACTGACCCTGCTGTCCGGGTCCACAGCAGAAGCAAGCAACCAAGAAAGGCGGGGATAGAGAACCTGGTTAACGAAAATGCACACGGAATCGGGCCAGGTGGAAGCATGGGCTTACAGTAAGTAATGTTTATTTTTACATCCCCCAATATTCTTTACCATATCAAAGGATATGAGGGGTCACAAAAGGGATGGAAGAACAAAAAGAGACAATGGGTTCTGATCAGGAAAGAGTGAGGGGAGGGAGGTTGTGCATTGGAGAGGCTCTGTTTGGACTCCACGCAGCTGAATTTCTTTCAACACCAGAGTGTTGATTTCAGTGATGACATCAATATGGCAACGTAGATTATTATTCCCGACTTCAGTTCCCCTCACAAGATGACCAGCTAGCAGCTATCCATAGGCAACACACTACTGTGAAAATCCCAGAACGCAGAGGTGAGGCGGAAGCACCCCCCTGGACCAGAGACAGAAAAGGATGCATTAGGAGGGTAAGAAGGGGGGTAACACTGACCAGCTCGCCCTCCCCCAGGCCAGCACAGAGCTACACTGAAAGGGCCCCACTGTAGTTTCTCAAGTAGGAGAAAAGCACGAGGTGGACATCCAGTCCCCCAGAATTGTGGGGTGCTTCCTGGGAAGCCCATTTCGGACCTGCCTCACAGGAACCACTGGGAATCAGAGACAGAATAGGGGGCAGAGCTTTTGGTACCAGCACTCAGGTCTATGTGGACCGCACTCCCGCTCGCAGCAGTGCATGCGTAGAGGTTCCAGGCACTCACGGCCCATCTGCAGAGCCAAGCTAGCTGGTAGCCCTATCTGGCTAGGGACCTCAGCTGGCAATTCTGCCTGATTTGGGTCCCCAGTTAACGGGTTATAGCCAGCTGTGGAGCGCATCCTTCCACCACACCAAGGCAGGGAAGCAAATTTGAAGACTCAACTGCTGAGTGTAACCTCCAGTCCCAACCATCCGGGAGCCTGAGGAACCACGGAGCCCATTTTACAGCCCCAGTTGGGCAGGGAGCCAACCCAGCAGCTCTGCCCAACTGGTGAATATCACCTCTGGCCACTCATAACCAGGGAGCCTGAACAATAACCCTAAGCAGTCTCAAAGCCCAGCCTACAGCCCTGCCTGACTCCTAAACATAGCTTGCAGCCTCATTCAGACCCCACCCAGCTGCAGAGCAATCACTAGCCCACCCCTACCTGCAGGAGGCACCTCCTGACTGAGAGCCCTGTCAGCAGTCTTGCTCAATAGTGGGGCACAGCCAGCAGCCTACCTGATAGCGAAGGCAAGCCTGCAGACCTGCCTAACTTTAAGGCACAGTCTGTGTACCCACCTGATCATAGAGCACAAGCATGAGGCCAAGTCCAACCACAAAGCCCTGCCTGTAGCCTCGCCTAAACAGAATCCAGCCAGTGCCACCATCTGGTCAGGGAACCCACCCAACCAGGAGTGACTGTGGAGCCCAGCCCACAGACCTGTCCAATCACAGAGTCTAACCAGTGGCTGTGCCCTGCCAGGGAACATATCCAGTGACCCCACCTGACTACAGGTAATTGCAGAGCCCAGCTAGTGGCCAATGTGACCATGGAATACAGCCAGCAACCCCGCCAGGTCAAGAAGCCCACCCAGTAGCCCTGCTTGAACATGGAGCCCAGCTAGTGGCAACCCACGTCCCAACCTAAAGCACAAGTATCTGACCCCACCCAACTAGAGACCCTGAGAGCCAGCCCCATTAGACCATGGACACGATTGGCTGACCCACTCAGTAACCCAAGCTGAGCTGAATGGTGAAGGTCTTTCCCTGCAAAACAAACTGGCAGAGGAGACCACTTATATTTTCAGACACCAATGCAAGGAATCAAGGCTCATAATTTAGGTAAATGTGACATTAAAGGAAACTAATAAAGCTCTAATAAATGACCCTAAAGAAATGGAGATCTATAAACTATGTGACCAGGAATTCAGAATAAACCTTTTAAAGAAGTTTCGTGAACTACAACAACAGAAACTAAATAAAATTAGGAAAGGGGCCGGCCGAGTGGCGCGTTGGTTAAGAGCTGGCTTGGGACGCCAGAGGGCCCCAGTTGCGATCCCACATGGGAGGGCCAGTGACACTGCCCTCTACAGCTAAGATGCTGAACAACAGCTCAACCTGGAGCTGGGCTGCCATGAGTCGCCGGCAACAGCGTAGACTGCAGCCCTTGCTGCAGTGGGTTGCCATGGGCAACCGCGTGTAGCCAGCAGCCAGCGTGAGCGGCCGTCCAGAAGACAGTGACTGATCTGCCTCGCCCGGGAAGAGCGCAATGATGGTGCCAACTTGGGCCAGTGAAGCAACATACTCCACAACTAGACTGAAGAACAAAAGGACAGCAACTTGTCTGTTCCCCGTCCCTCAATTCCCCAGCACTGCTCCCATCCCCCAACTTCCCAATAAAAATCTTTAAAATAAAAAAATAAAATAAAATTAGGAAAACAATGAACAAAATGAGAAGTTAAAAAAATAGAAACCATCAAAAGTAAAAAAAGCAAAAACAAAACCCCAACATCCTAGAGCTATAGAAAACAATGACTGAAGAATTAAACAAAGAGTTTCAACAGCTAACTCAAGCAAGCAGAAGAATCAGTGAAGCAGAAGATAAGATTATTTGAAATTATCCAGCCAGAGGAACAAAAAGAGTGAAGATAACCTAAAGGACTTATGTGTTACCATCAAAAGAAACAATATATACATTATGGAAATCCCAGAAGGATAAGAGATAGAAAAAGGGATAGAAAGTCTATTTAAAACAACAATGGTAAAAAACAAAACAAAACAAAACAAAAAGCGCCCCAAACCTAGTAAGAGAAATAGACATCCAGATGTATGAGGCTCAAAGATCCACCAAATACGATGAATCTAAAAAGAGTTATACCAACACACATTATAATTAAATTGTCAAAAGTCAAAGATAGGTTTTGACAGCAGAAAGAGAAAAATGACTCATCATATACAAGAGTGCTTCCATAGGTTCTATCAGGGGATTTCTCAACAGATATCTGACAAGTCAGGAGTGGGATAACATATTCAAAATATTGAAAGAAAAGGCTGTCAACCAAGAATACCATACCCAGCAAAGCTGTCCTTCAGAAACGAAGAAGAGATAAAGACTTTCTCAAACAAAAAAGCTCAGGGTGTTCATCAACACTGAACCTGCTTATGAGAAATGCTAATGGGCATTCTTCAAGCTGTAATAAAAAGATGCTAATTTGCATCACAAAAACATGAATGTGTAAAACACACTGGTAATGGTAAATACACAAAGTCAATTATCTAACATTGCAATGGTGCTGCACAATTCATGTACAACTCTAGTTTTAAAATTTAAAAATAACTAACTTATATGCACAGTAATTTATGGTTATTTTTAATACATTTGCTTTTTAACTTTTAAAGTAAATTATAACATCAATTAAATCAGTTAAATTAGAACACTTACAGTAAATTGTAACATCGATAACCTAAAATGTGAGAGGTATAAATTTCTATATGCTATCAAAATTATCAGTTTAAATAGGATGTTATAAATGTATTTTATATAAGCATCAACGTAATCACACACACACACACACACACACACACACACACAAAAGCCTTTAGTAGATACACAAAAGATTATAAAAAGGAGTCAACGCATACCACCATTAAAAAGCATCAAATCACCAAGGAGGTTGGCAGAAGAGGAAGCAAAGGAACATAGGAGCTACAAAACCCTCAGAAAACAATTTTTAAGATGACAATAGTAGGGCTGGCCGAATGGTGCATTGGTTAAGAGTTGGCTTGGGACGCCAGCTCTGAGGGCCCCAGTTTGGATCCCACATGAGGGCCAGTGACACTGCCCTCTACAGCTAAGATGGTGAACAACAGCTTCACCTGGAGCTGGGCTGCCGTGAGTTGCCAGCGATGGCATAGGCTGCAGTGGGGTTGGCCGGCAACAGACATAAGCTTACGTGAGCCGCCGTGAGCAGCCGTCCAATGGCCGGTGAGCGACTGCCTCACCCGGGAAGAGCGCAATAATAATACCAACATGGGCCACTGAAGTGACATCCTCCAAAACTAGACTGAAGAACAAAAGGACAGCAACTTGTCTGTTCCACCCTCCTAATTCCCCAATAAAATATTTTTTTTAAAAAAAGGCAATAGTAAATTCTTAACTATCAATAATTATTTTAGAAGTCCAATGCGCTATCCATTGCGCTACGGAGCCTCAATAATTATTTTAAACATAAATGGATCACACTCTCTAATCAAAAGACATAGTGGATGAATGGATTAAAAAAAACACAAGATCCAACATTATGCTCCCTGTAAGAGACTCACATTCACTTTAAGAACACACATGAACTAAGAGTGAAGGAATGGAAAAAGATATTGCAAGTAAATGGTGACCAAAAGAAAACATAAGTAGCTGTACTTACTTTAGACAAAAACAGACTTTAAACTAAAAATGGTCAAAAGAAACAAGGTCATTATATAATGCTATAGAGGTCAATTCATCATGAAGATATAACAATTGTAAATATTTATGCACCCAACATCAAAGCACCTAAATATATAAAATAAATAATAACAGAACTAAAAGGAGAAATAAACAGCAATACAATAATAGTTGGGGACTTTACTACCCAACTCTCAACAATGGACTGATTACCCAACCAGAAAATCAATAAGGAAATAGCAGATTTGAACACTATAGACCAAATGGACCCAATAGACATATAAAGAATATGCCATCAAATCACAACAGAACACATATTCTTTTCAAGCACTCATGGAACATTTTCTAAGATAAATCATATGTAAGGCCACGAAACAAGTCTCAGCAAATTTAAAAAAATAGAAATTATAATAAACATCTTTTCCAACCACAATGGTATAAAACTAGAACTCAATAACAGGAAGAAAGTTGGAAAATTCACAAATACATAAAAATTAAACAAAATATTCCTGAACAACCAATAGCTCAAAGAAAAAAAAAAAATTTAGGGCCGGCCAAGTGGCACGTTGGTTAAGACCTGGCTTGGGACGCCAGAGGGCCCCGGTTCGGATCCCACATATGAGGGCCAGTGACACTGCCCTCTACAGCTAAGATGCTGAACAACAGCTCAATCTGGAGCTGGGCTGTCATAAGTCACTGCCAACGGCATAGGCTTCAGCCCCTGCTGCAGTGGGTTGCCATAAGCTACCGTGTTTAGCCGGCAGCCAGCGTGAGCGGCCAGCAGCCACCGTGAGCTGCTGTCCAGAGGCCGGCGACTGATCTGCCTCGCCTGGGAAGAGTGCAATGATGGTGCCAGCTTGGGCCAGTGAAGCCACATCCTCCACAACTAGACTGAAGAACAAAACAACAGCAACTTGTCTGTTCCCCTCCCCCAATTCCCCAATAAAATCTTAAAAAAAAAAAATGAAAACACAACCTATACAGTGGGAGGAAACATTTGCAAGCCTTATCTGATAAGGAGCTAATATCCAAAATATATGAGGAACTCACACAACTCAATAACAACAAAATCCCATATAAAAATGGGCGAAGGACCTAAATAGACAATTATGTAAAGAAGATATTTGAATGATGGCTGACATGTACATGAAAAGGTACTCAACATTACTAATCATCAGGGAGACGCAAAGCAAAACCACAATGAGATATCACCTCACACCTGTCAGAATGACTACTATAAAAAAGATGACAAGTATTGGTGAGAATGTGGACTGTGGGTAGAATGTAAATTGGTGCAGCCACTACGGAAAACTGTACAGAGGTTCCTCAAAAAAGTAAAAATAGAACTACAATGTGATCCAGCAATTCCACATCTGGGTTTACACCCAAAGGAAATGAAGTCACTATCATAAAGGGATATCTGAACCCCCATATTCACTGAAGCATTATTTACAACAGCCAAGATATGAAAACAACCTAAGTGTCCAACAATGAGATATACACACACTGGAACATTATTCAACCATTAAAAGGAAATCCTGGGCTGGCCGAGTGGCGCGTTGGTTAAGAGCTGGCTTGGGACGCCAGAGGGCCCCGGTTCGGATCCCACATATGAGGGCCAGTGACACTGCCCTCCACAGCTAAGATGCTGAACAACAGCTCAACCTGGAGCTGGGCTGGGCTGCCGTGAGTTGCCGGCGACGGCGTAGGCTGCAGCCCCTGCTGCAGTGGGTTGCCATGGGCTACCGTGTGTAGCCAGCAGCCAGCGTGAGCGGCCAGCAGCCGCCGTGAGCGGCCGTCCAGAAGCCGGTGACTGATCTGCCTCGCCTGGGAAGAGCGCAATGATGGTGCCAACTTGGGCCAGTGAAGCAATGTCCTCCACAACTAGACTGAAGAACAAAAGGACAGCAACTTGTCTGTTCCCCTTCCCCAATTCCCCAGAGCTGTTCCCATCCCCCAATTCCTCAATAAAAATCTTTAAAAAAAAAAGAAATCCTGCCATCGACATCAACATAGATAGACATTGAGGGTATGTGCTAAGTGAAATAAGTCAGAGTAACACAAACACTGTATGAGCTCATTTATGTTTGTAATGTACAAAAACCAAACTCACAGAAACAGAGTAGAATGGTGGTAGCCAGGGTGGGTGGGGGATGGCGGTAGCCAGTGGATACAGAGGGTACGAACTTCCAGTTATATGATGAGTAAGTTCTGAGGATGTAATATACAGCAAGGTGGCTATAATTAACAATAATATACTATATATTTGAAAGTTGATAAGAGTAAATCTTAAAAGTTTTCAACATACATACACACAAAAATGTAACTATGTGAAGTGATGTATGTTAACTCACCTTATTGTGGAAATCATTGCCCAATATACACATATATCAAATCATCATGTTGTACACTTTAAACTTCTACAATCTTATAAGTCAGTTATAACTCAATGAAGCTGGCAAAAAATTAAATTAAAACAAACAACAAGCCCAGAATGTTGCGTCCTCCCCAGCAGGCTCACTTGTCACCCCTGGGACTCATTCTAGAGGAGAATGCACAAGGCGGGGCGGGAGAGAGGGGCAAGCCCAGTTCAGCCTGCCCTCTGGCTGCTGCTTTGGAGTGGCTGGGTCTTGTCTTGCAAAGGAGCTGCTTGTTGCTTTGAGCTAAGGGAGGTGGAAGGGACATAAGGCCATGAGCTTCCTGGGAGAGGGGTTGGGGGGAATTGGGGGTGAGATGGGTATAAGGAACCAGACCCCACTGTGATCTAGCCAGCAGGAGCCACTGAAGGAGCAACTAACAGCAAACCCTCAGCCAAAAGGTTCCAAGACAGGAATGGGGCTACTGTTTTGATCCTGGCTGAATATCACCGTGAGCTGGCAAGGTGGTCACAGGGCAGAGGCCCAAAGTCAGCGTACTGGGTGGCTCTCTCACCCAAACTCTCAGAAAAGGAGCTGACTCCTGGGCTGAGGCCGACACTTGAACATAGCAAATCCTTTAGAACATCTCTCCCTCTCTCCTCTGCTTCCTTTTCCCCTTTGTCTTCACATCCACGGTTATTTCAACAAGTATTTATTGAGCATTAACTGTCGACCCGGTCAGGAGCCAGGCACCGTGGGAGAAATTTATTCATTCAACAAACACACAATGTTCCAGACAGTGATCTGGTACTGAAACAAAACCAATCAATTCCTGACCAAAACACCCAAAGAGTGAAAACAATCAAACGTCCATCAACTGATGAACAGATAAACAAAATGGGCTGTATCTGTACAAAAGAATATTACTCAACCATAAAAAAAGCATGAAACATGCAACAACATGGATGACCCTTGAAAACATTATGCTAAGTGAAAGAAGCCAGTCACAAAGACCACATACTACGTGATTCAATCACATGAAATGTCCAGAACGGGCAAACCCATAGGGATAGAAAACAGATTAGTGATTGCTGAGGACAGGGGGAGCGACTGCTACTGGGTATATGTTTTTGGGGAAGTGATGAAAGTTTTCTAAGATTGATTGTAGTGATGGCTGCACAACTCTGTGAATATACTGAAAACCACTGAACTACATACACTTTAAGTGGGTGAATTGTATAGCATGTGAATTATATGTCAATAAAGCTGGTATGTTTTTAAAATCCCTGCCCTGATGAATTGGGGGGAGGGGGGAACCAGAACAATATAAACAAAAATATTTAAGTACCATATATAGTATACCAAATATCAGTGCTTTGGGGGAAAATAGAGAAGGGAAGGGAGGCAGTACAAGGACAGCATCTGCAATTTTTACAGCATGGAGAGAGATGGTTTCACTCTGGATGACGACCTGACGGGCTCAGAGGAGCCAGGAGGCAGCTACCTGGGGGAAGAGGGCTCCCGGCAGCAGCTCTGGGAAATTCTAGTGCTCACAGTGCCTGGCAGACAAAAGTTCAGCTCAAAGCAAAGAGCACTATGCAGCTCTGAGTGCTGGGAGAAAGGGAAGCCACCAGCTTGTCGGACAAGGAACTCCAAGTGTGATGAGGGGGGTGTCTTGAACTACCAACACCAATTCAGGGGCCAGTATGTGCTGGTTCGTAGCAGTTCTAAAAATATCTGCTGAATGAATGAATAATGAATCAACAGAGTCTGCCCCAAGGCTGCCTCCAGCCCGGCCTGTACCCGGAGGCCCCTGTTACCTTTCCAGCCCAGTTTGATGTTCCACTCATAGAAGAAAATCAGCTTCCCTTTGCGGCTGCTGCAGGAAGCCTCACCTTCCACCTGCTTCAGCTCACTGATCTGGCAGCGACCAGCCTCATTCTCCACGATGATGCCCACCAGGAACTCACGGAGCTTCCCCTTGGACCAGCTAGTGGCATCCCGTTCTGTCCTGCCAGGGACCAAAAGGGCAGAGCCATGAATGGAAGCCCCAGGTGTTATCACACGTCCAGCCTGAGTTGTCAGGGTAATGCCCAGGCCCAGCCCAGATTAGCCTAACTCCTTTCAAGGGACCTTGAGAGACCCGCCACCCTCAAACTTACAAATATGCTTCTCAAACCAACTTTCTAGCAATATCTTCCTGCTTGGTTCCTTAAGATAGTATTAACTACTATGTAAAGTATTTTGTCTTAAAAACACCAGCTTATTTTGGAGAAACGGAGTCTAGCAATCTGACCAGTTGGAAATGGATGGGCAAAGCCTGGACCATATGAAAAGGTAGTAATAAATGACTCTAATCTTAACAAATTATCAAGCGTGTTCACACATATTATTTCATGCATTCTCCCCAAATAATGTTCCCATTTTGGGCAGCAGAAACGAGCTGAGAGAAATCCATGATGTGCCCATGGTGACGGAAAGGAGGGGCGGGAGGTCAGCTCCTCTGAGCTCCAGGCCAGGGGTCCCCTAGTAAATGATCCCTTGACGAGCTGAGAGGGCTTCAGTCTGCCCTGGACCTGTCTCAGCATCACCTTGGTGGCCTTAATACCACAACCCTCAGAAGAGCGGGGCCCAGAGCATCACTTTCTGAAACTCTGAGGGAGAGAGGCAAGCAAAAATAAGCCAGTGTTCCACATGAGGTACAAAAAGGATGTGTAAATGGTTCAAACTCCTCGAAGGCAGGGCTCACGGGAGGCCCATGAAGTTAGATGTCGAATTGAGATCCAAATTCCTGTTCTTTATGCACAAACCAAACCACACACTTTCTAAATTCATTTTAACTTCCAGAAACATCAAGAGGACTGGGTGTGGGAGGGGGTACGGGAAGGGAAGCTCTTAAGGGTACGAACTGTCAAAGTTGAAGAGGTTAAGTCAGAAGCCATTCTTGAGGCCCAATCCAGCTTTCAAGAGGACGAAACCGAAGTCCCAGGGGCAGTGGAGAGAAGGTGACAGGTGTCCAGACTCCGAGGGCTGTCCCAAGCCTCGGGGCTACAGACAAGCCGCTCGCTAAGCAGCTGGGCATCCTCTGCACCTGCGCAAGCCCCCAACCCTCGGAGGGACTGCGGCCCGGGAGGCGCCCCGAGAGCGGGCCACCGTCCACCCCCTCACTCTACCCCCAGGGCACAGGGCACCGGGTGCTCGCAGAGAGGCCCCACCGTCCCGCCCGGCGGTTCCGGAGGGAGAAGGCCCGGAAGCCGCAGCCCTGGCCCCAGCCCGGCCGCACCAGTGCCAGTTGTTCACATTGGTCCCGTCCTCCCGCTCCTCCACGATCCAGCGCGGGTCCCCCTGGCCCCATTTGGCCATGTCTGCGCTGGCGGCGCGGCCTCCTCAGAGAGCAAAGAAGGGCAACCGTGTTGGGGGCGGCGGCGGTTGCGCTGCGGCTCCGTCGCCCGCGTTTCCGTCCTCCCAGCCCAGGATTAGGGCGTTCGCAGCGCCCAGAAAGTGCCAGAAATCTCCGCCCCTGCGCCGCCCCGCCCACCGCCTCGCGCAGCGCGCCCTGCGGCGGAGCGCGGAGGGAGCCGGCGCGGCTGGGGCGGGCGCTCGGGGCAGGAAGCCGCGTCGCGGGGGCGGGGCTCTGGGAGAAGCGGTGCGCGGGCGAAGGGAAGCGCAGGTACCCGAGGGACCGGACAGGGTCCCGGGAGAGATTGGGACCGAGAGCTCGGGGGTACGGGGAGGGCGCTTGGGGAGGGCGCTTGGAGAGTCAGGGCGGTGGTGGGTGGGGGAGAGGGAGGTCCTGAAGGCCGGGTCGAGGAATTGAGCAGACCCTGGGCCCAGCTGCCGAATCACCTCCTCTGGAGGATACATTATTACTGCAATGATTAGTTTCAATGCTAGCAGTAAGGGGCGTCTGAGAGACTGCGGTACTGGAGATGAAGACCGGAAGCGGCTGTCAAGCTGTCATCTGCTGGGCTCCTATTCGTTCCTGTAGAGGACACGACCCAAGCACTTGATCACCCTCTTTGCTGTACGACCGACTTCTGAGGTCTGAGCGCGCCCACGGTGCGTGTGATCCCCGCTGTGTGCGCACTCTTGACACCACATTCATGTTTTGTTTGAAAGTTTCTGCAGAGTTGGTGCACTTTGGTTGTGTCGTAGAGGTCAAGTCTCACGCCTTTCCAACACCTGTCCAAGTACGAGCTACCGCTGTTACTTCAAGAATGTTTACATTTTATTTTAATTAAAAAAAATTTTTTTTAAATTGGGGAGCAGTGTGTTTTTCCAGGACCCATCAACTCTAAGTCAAATTGTTGTTTTCAATCTAGTTGTGGACAGCACAGTTCACTGGTCCATGCAGGAATCCACCAGGCAACCTTGATGTTAGGAACACTGCACTCTAACCACCTGAGCCAACAGGCTGCCCTACGTTTTATTCTTCTAATAATCCATTATAAATGACAAAAGAATGTGATTATGCAACGCATAGTATTGCAGCTTGATGCAATTTTACACTTAAGTGGATATTAATGATTCCTTTAACAAGTCTTCATCTTCCAGAAAGAACTCTGTACCAACTATTTGGAAGATGTTACCGAGGGGGTCTGTGGATATTTATTTAGCAAAGAAAATGGGTATGGCAATGGAAGGGTCATAGTACCTGACTGTTCTATTCCATGGTGTTGACCTGTTCTTTGCCTGTGGTCTGTGCTCATCAGTGAGATTAACTAACTGTTGGAGAGCATTTTCTCTTTTACTTACTGGAGCTACTACATTCATCATTTTCCAAAAAGCTACAGTAGTTATGTAAACAGACTGCTTCGAAGTGTTTTGGCCCCAAAACAAAATAACATTTTAATTTTCCCTTTTACACTTTACTTCACCAAAAGTATGGACAGCTAACACATAGTATCAAATAGAAAAGAATTTCAATGGCAATACTTCTGGGCACTTCACTTGTGGATTAGCTATGCATCTTTTATCCAATTCATAGAGAATATTACTGATGGAATGTTACATGGTAAGATTTAGATATGTATAATTGGAATCTGGCGGGAAATAAGACTTACCAGAAAACTTACAGAAGACAGAAGCTATAATCACTAAACTTTTAAGTGGACAAAAAAATTTGTAATATTTATACAAAAGGAGTTTATCCCAATGGAAATAGTTTTATTACATTGTAAATAGAAAATGTATTCTATGTATATAGTTGATCAAGAATTAAATTAGCCTAGGGCCGGCCGAGTGGCGCGATGGTTAAGAACTCGCTTGGGATGCCAGAGGGCCCCGGTTCGGATCCCACATATGAGGGCCAGTGACACTGCCCTCCAC